CCTTTTTTAAATAATTAAAATTCAATTACATTTAATTAGGTTTTTACTAACATTAATTAATTTTTATTTCTTTCTTAAAATACCAAAAACCCAAAAAATAACTTTTTTATTAATTTATTTTAATTCAATTTAGTAATTAACTTAGGTAATTTCTTTCTTAATTCAAAAAACAACAAAAAAGATACTTTCTCTCAAAAAGGGTCAAAACCCTATTTACGCTCGATTTAATTTCTCGCACGCGATTTATTTTCTTTTATATCATATTGTACTTGTTCCCAGTTTGTAATAGTTAATAGGACCATTTAATTATCTTTATTGCTTTATCTATTTTTCTGCATTTAAATTTCAAAGGGTTGTTTTTGGCGATGTAAATACCCGACGCCTTGTAATTTAATTTCCGCAATTTATTTCCCGCAAAATATAACTGTTAGATGTTTGATAATAGGGATGCATGACAAGACTGAATGTTCTAAACCTAAAATCAACTTAGACCACCATTAACATGTACAAAGATAAAATTAACTGAAAACGACACACTCGCACATGCGCACTCTTAGGGTACACACCACTTGGTTACCTTCGTAAGTGGTCATTGAGTATAGGTCATTTTAGAGGTTGTTCTTTTGTCCAAAGATCATAGTCGCCTCGAAACGGTTTCCTCGGATATTGTTGCCTCAAAACAAATTATCTAAGACATTAGGGTTACCGCTAAGGCGTCCTAACATTGCTTTAGTGACCGTAAGTCCCTCAATTCGAATTGACCCTTAAAACTCCAACGACGGTGCTACCTACTCATTAATAGTGGGATAGCATTGTCTAAAGAAAGATAGCATAGAATAATTCCTTTTTCGAGTAGGAAGATGGTTCTTAAGTACTTGCTCTTTCAAAAAACAAAATCTTTTTCACACTTACACTTTTCGAACAAAGTTTTCAAAAACACTTCATTACACTCTTGAGGACAGAAGCAAGAGTTAAATCGAAGTTTTCAAACAAAAACTTTTTTTCAAACCCACAAAGCACAAAGGAAACCATTTTGAAAACAATATGAGCAAGTACCTAAGAGCCCGTGGATAACCACAGATAGAAAGGGTGCTAACACCTTCCCTTTCTATAATCTACCCCCCGAACCCGAAAAATATCTCGAAAAAGGAATTTTTCTGTGCTTTTTTCCTTTCCTTGTTGGATAAAATAAAAGTCGGTGGCGACTCTTGCTTACCGCAACATTTTGCGAATACAAACGCAAAACGCAAACCAGCATTCCAAAAAACAGTCAGTTCTTCCCACCGTATCACAAAACTCATACTCAAACCTTTTATTCCTTGGCCTTACGATAATTATTTTCTCTTCCTCACATTTAAAGTTTCAATTTAAGTCTTCTTAAATCTCTCATAACAGAATCACGCCTTCTTCTAATATTCTTTTCCAAATACATCTTGTCTCTTCTTCTCTAGTCTTTAATCTCTTATGTTATTTCTTTTCATCTTATTATTTTTATTCTATTATTCTCTCTTCCAATTACTCTTTAAATGCACCTTTTCTTCTATAATCCCTCCTCTCTTCAGCTCTTTCTTTTTCATCTTCTCTAATCTTTCATTTGCTATATATTTTCTATTTCATTATAATGTTTTTATATTGTTTTATGCTACTATTTTATTTTATTTTGTTCCACTACTCTCTAATCTTATCTTTGTATATTAAATGGAAAGTAGTTGCCCAAATATGATGAATTTTGTTTTTATTTGATAATGCATAAATTACTAAATATAAAGCTATGTTGTCATCTATATGTGTATGTATGATTCAATAATTTTTTTTAAATAAAAAACCGAATCAATCCAAACTGTATTGGTTTAGTTTGGTTCGGATTTATTTCTAAAAGACAACAGAACTAAACCACACATTTTGTTCTCTTGCAGTTCAGATGATTTTTTATGTCAAAATCGCTCAAACTGCACTGTGAACACCCTTAATTACATCAATGGCACATTGGCATTAGGAACACAAATCTTGTATATTACATAAAAACCAAAATTGAGACAAAACAACCTACAATGTACACATTTTTACATCAAATTATACTATCTTGTTGTCTTGGGGTCTTGTCTCTTGGTGTCTTCACTTTAAACACCTATAATTTTCAAATATTAATAGTTGTTAGAAATTTAATAACATCTTTGGAAATTATAACAAACAAACTATAAATTTATGAATAAAGAATATAAAATACTCACTTGTTAATTTTCTCATATTCCTTCTTGATGATCGTTGTGAATAGCATGTATATCATCTCTATCAATTTCTTCATATGAATTAGGCATTTGTGTTGCGTGAGAAGGAGTGGAAAAAATATCAAAACTTTCATCATCACTATGTGGAATGTGTTTTCCTTTGAAAACAATTAATCATCTCCTCGATAAATCTGCATGGTATTTCACATAAAAAGCTTGTTTCGTTTGAGTAGCCATGATAAATGGTTCGGTCTTATAAGTTGTCTTGCCAAGGTCAACCCGTGTGAATCCCAACTCATCAGTTTGTACATCATTTTTATTGGAGATCCACTTGTATTTAAATAAAGCACTTTGAAAGTAACATAATCAATCTCAAAAATCTCCTCAATGACGCCATAGAACACGATGGTTCCCAAAATAGGATTTTTATCTTTTGAACTAGAGAAATACATGGATTTGATCTCAACCATAACCCCACTATTTTGTATTGTACTATGATCATCTTTTGCTTTTGTATAAAATGAATAATTAGAAATGTCATATGTCGTCCAAGTTATCACAGTAAATTTTGACATGTACGACAACCATTTAAGTGTCTCGGATGCCCCACCATATCTTCATCATCTTCATCCATTTGTGACGTCTCATTTAGATTATTATCCAATCCTCCATGACACATCCATGTTGTATAATTTTGATATATTCCATCACAGCATATGTGATAAAATATCTATTTTTTTTGACAGTTTGTTGATATTCCCGCAAACAACAGAAGGACAATAAAAGATACCATTATTGTTGGGAAAATTTGTTCCAATGAATTCAAGAAATTCAAGAACTCATTTCTCATACACCGGACCTAATCTATCAGCTTTCATCCAAATATGATCCATAACAAATTCTGAAATTTATATAAAAAGACTATTGTGAACAACACATTAATGCTACACACACAAAACCTAAAGCATATTCACTAATTTGAACAATACACACTGAACAATAAAAATTAAAATTTCAAAGAATATAAACATAAACCATTGTGTTGGATAGAACCCCGATTGATGCGTCGTTCAAAGTGTTGGATAGATAATGAAACAAACTACATTTAGGTGGAATAAAATTAGCAAAAGAATGGTTACTTACAATATTTAGGATACGGTAGAATTAGATTATCATAAGATATGTTAGGATGGTATGTGCGCTATGATGAATTGTGGATACTATAACATATGTGACATGACGATGGTGATCTTGGTGGCCTGAATTGGCATATTGATGAAGACTTATGCCTTGTGGTTTCGTAATCTATGTTGTTGCATGTTGATGTTGCATGCATTTCATTGGTTAGGGCTTATGCTTTGTTGTTGGCCTGTAATGGCGTTATGTTGAGGGAATATGTCATGTTGTTGCCTGATTGGCACTATGTTTGGTGCTTATGCTCTGATGGTACCACATGCATTGAGTTAATGTCAGTATCATTGCATTGCATTATTAATGAATTGATGTTGTATGATGTGAATGATGCGATGTGCTGTGAAGTGTTATGTAATGTGTGAATTGTGTGAATTACTACTCCTTAGCATATGATATTCACCGTGTATTTATTGAATTTAATTCTCACCCCTTTTGTGTTGTTGTGTCTTTACTCTTTGGGAGTATATATAATCAGGTCCTCGAGTAGTGCTTGAAGAGAATGTTACCTGATCGAGTCTTAGGAGTCGCTCTGATACGTAATACGGGATTTGGGAATTTGTTATATTTTTGTATTGTTTATTTGTTACATATTATACTTTTATGCTTATGATGGACCATATTTTTGTGGAGTTTTATTATTGTTGAGGCTTGATGCCATGGAAGAGAATTAAACTGAATGATTTCGCTGCTAGTTGATTGTTATAAATAAATGAAGTAATAAAGTGATTTGAGACTTTATGAAAATTTGAATCATGTGACATCTCATTGTGTAAACTCATATATATTTCATGTATGTTGATATAATTATTCTTATGGGAAAATGGGGTGTTACACAATACCCTTAAATAACTATCCCGTTGGGATGCTAGATTGCCACACTTCTCTTCAGCCGAATCTTTTCTACACGCACTCACTCGGGCCAAAGAGCTTTCCAATATCCAAATTCAGCCAGAGACAAAGCAACAAAAGCCTGCTAAGTAGAACGAGCCAAAGTATACAACTCTTCCCGTAAGGACTGTCCGTAGAGTCCAATGAAAAATACTCAATCATCATTAAAGGGTGAATCGAGGCAATCTTGAGAAGGACTGGGACGAGGGTTGATGTTCACCTGCAAACCCAAAAGAGGAATAAGATTTGAGGCCAAGATAGGTGGTTGTATTCCCCGTTTTAAGACCCAGACCCTTACTTCATCCCCCATTACACTTGCACAAATATGTAACCGTTATCCTAAGACAACATATCAAAGGAAATTCGAGAGTAAGGAATAAAGAGAACCCTAAAATTACCAAAGATCTTCCCAGCTGACGCTTTTGTCGCCTCTTCTCAGCCTCGTCTGAGGGGATCACTCCCCCGACATAACCAAATGGTTAACAAACTCTAACAACTTCTTATTCTGAAAATAATCCTCGGTGGTAAAATCACTTTCTTTTTAAACATATGAGTTGTTCTCCAAAAGAAAGTGCTTCACCGTAAAACAATGGGAAAACAACGATTTACATTTACCTTCCACCTTGACTCAGTCGTACAAACACTGATGTGAGCCTCAGGGTGAAGGGGGTGTCAAAAAAGAACCGGTCCATGAAAGAGGGTGGTTCAGGGAAATCTTCAAAAATTTGTATCGTAGACACTAAAAGAACCAAACTCGTCCTCTTGGAGGGGCCAGAGTACTTCGGTCACAGCAAAAGAGATGAAATAATAAGACAGTGGAAGGTTTTCCCTTCAGAAACTAACAACAATAATGATAAACTTTATCTTACGCCCAACTGGTGAGATAAAGTTGAGATGGATCCACCATCAAATAATTAAGAACATCCAATTCGAAAGAAGTAAAGGGAAAACAAACTTCCATACATGAAAAGAGATACTCATACAAATGAATGATACAATTACTATACTTACTATAAATTTTGTCTTCGTCACCATGAATGGTATACCCCCAAAGCGACAATTCACCAATGTATGAGAATGCCATATCTAAGTTCCCCTATTTTGTGAAGACTGAGACGATTGAAGGAAAATAGAACCTTCCCACAGAGAAGATTGGTTCACCGTATTCTTTTTCATGGTGTTTCGCGGTCTCTTCGCCATATGTAGATTCAAGAGAAAGAAAGTAATGCTTCAAAGTAAAAGAAGAAGCGAACAATTTAGAAACAACCACGAATAAAACCTAGAAATAAAAAAAAGTGACTCTAATTATTCCCACATTTATAAACTGGGCTTACGAAACGAAATGTGTCTTATCAAAAATTCACTTCTCTTGCACACAATACTTGAGTATTTTGGTTCCATAGGAAGATCATAATCACTCCTCCAAAGACATTAAAATTTATTGGATAGTTGAAGCAAAAAAGTGTGTGCATTAGCTGATGTAAGAGAACTCCCCAAACCCTCGCCTCTACTCCTTAAAGCGAGAGAGCCATCCATATCCTCGATAATCAGGCCCATCTTTATAGATTCGACCACTGCAGATATATATATATATATATATATATATATATATATATATATATATATATATATATATATATATATATATATATATATATATATATATATATATATATATATATATATATATATATATATATATATATATATATATATATATATATATATATATGCGGATGTTACGATTTCAGGTCGAGTTCTTCGAACAAAATTTGAACACTCTCCCATCATGCAGATACACTCCCGACTCTGTCGTGTCAGAACCTTTCCTACTCCGTAGCTTTCGTGACCACACATATTTCCAATTCCAGTACGAAACAAATAACATTAAAGGTGTCTTGTTCCACTATAAATTTTAAAGCTATGATCCGGTCTCCTACTCTTTTACCATCCATAATATCCTTCATTCACTCCCTGTCCACAATAAATCCCACCATTTTTGCTGATCTAACTTTTTTGGTGTACCAAAGCATGAATTATGAGTTGTCTAATTCTTTCACTTTTTCACCTATCCACTTAGATTCTTATAAGCATATAAAATTTATCTTCCTCCTAACTATAATGTCCAATATTTCTATAAATTTTCTAGTAAGCGTTCCTATATTCAATGATTCAAAATGAATCTCACTCTCATGAACTAACCTCTTTACTCACACCTGTTCACAAAAATATGGGAAGCAAGCACTATATTCAAGCGGCGATGCAATGGTCCTTGCTCTTTTGATATTGTACTCGAGTCAATTCGACTATAAAATAGACTATTTATAAGACCGTTTAATTAAGTACTATTAACGATTGTGATTTAATATAAGATAAAACTTATACACGGTGTCAATAAATTCTAATGTGAAAAATCTATACGAATAATAAAAATAATGAGACATAAAAGTCTTATAAAGTAATTTTTTTTATAAATTTACCGTGTTATAGAAAAAAAAAACATGTTTTTTTAACTATAAAATAGGAGAAAATGTTGATAGCAAAAAAAAAAGGGTGTAGGTAGTTGCGCTAAAAATGTGAGTTGTTGCAAGCTTAACAAGGTGAGGACAACACAAGAAGTTGCATAATTTTGCACCAACCAAACCCACGGATAAAAGATGCAAACGTGCACAAAACAATAACAATTGCCATTAAATAATTCAACCATTTTTGTCCCTTTCTCCCGAAAAATGGCATAACAATCCCATCCGTACATCATTCACTACGATAGAGACACTGTGATTCCTCCACTCACCACTCAAATCTTCCTCTCTCCATCCACATCTTAATTAATAACCAAAAATCAAAATAAATCAATTCTTGCTCCACTTGCTCAACAACCAAAATTCATTTTACAATTTTGTATTACTATTTTTTTAAAAATGATATGAACATATTTGCAAAGAATGATTTGGTAAATATATTTTTTTAAGAATTAAAAAATGGATTTTGTTTGAAGGAAAAAAGAACCTTGATAGTCATAAAGGAAGAAAAGATATTTTATTTTTTAAGTAAACGTGATTTACAATTTTTAATATAATAGTAATTACTTTTTATTAACTATATTTTTTTATGGTATTGATTATACTTATAATTAATATTTTATAAATTATTTTTAATTTATTATAATTTGCTTTATATAAAAAAACAATGTATATTCCCTCTGTTTTATTTAGATGCCTTATTTGAATTTTATATATTTCTTACTATAATGTAGTTTTAATTATTTCAATGAAAATAGAAATTTCACCAGCTAAAATGATTATAATTAAAAATGGTTAGTAAAATAGTTAAGTAAGTTGAAATACATTTAAAAAGGCTAAATTAGTAAAAGAAAATGTTAATAACTGTTGTATTGAACATTGATATTCTAAAAAATTAAATAATTTGAAATATGAAATATTGTAAAATGGAGATTAAAAATAGATATTCAAATTAAATTTAAACAATTTTATTCTTTTCTAATATTTTTATATTTAAAATTATTTTTATTTTTATTTTTTAAGTAATCGATAAAATATAACAAAAAATGAATAATTTCATCGTTTTTTATGAACAAATGAAAAAAAAATTAGAATTATTTTAATTTAAAATAAAAATAAAAAATAATTTAAATTTAAAATAAAAAAATTAATTTCGTAAATCAGATAAAATTGATCGAGTATAATGAGATAAAATAAAATTAAATATGACTTTACTTCTTGAAAAGAGGAAAGTTGTAAAAAGATACATGTTTCCGTTTTTTCTGACTTTTCCCTTAATGGTCCCTACATTCCACCATCAGATTTTAACCAAACCCATCATCACCATGTCCCTTCCCACATGCATCATTAATATGATCAATCATAAAACACTCTCTTACCCACAAACAAGCCAAAGAACAAACCTCATCACACAAAAAATTCCAAATTCCAATTCCAACAACAAACCCTCCCCAGGTCAGTTCTATTTTCTTCCCAACATTGTTGTATCTTTCTATATCAATTAGTATCACCTACTATATTTACACTTTTTTTTTTAATTTATTATTAGTCAAAATATAATGTTTTTTTATAAATTAAAAATATTCTTTATCTTTTATGAAAAAAAAGAAGGAAAATTAAAATAACTTAAATAAGTGTCTCTCTACACCTGTCTTTGTCTTTTGTGAAAGAAAGAAAAAAATGGAATTAGTTGCATCATCATTTTTTCTATGGTTTTGCAAATGTAAACAATCTTCCTTTCCTTCCCTTTCTACCATACCTATTTGATTTCTTCATTTTTCTCTCCTTCGTGAAAGCCTTGAAAACCCTTCAGGTTGGTACTATTATCTTATTATCATCACTATTTTTCACTATTTTTTTAATTAATGTTTATTTAATTTTTTTCCTGATTTTCATCTTGATCTGATTAATGTGTTTTGATTCTTGTTATACAATGGTTGTTTGTGTTCTTGTTTTGTTTTCCTTCTAGACAGACATTTGAGGTTGTTGTCTTATAATCATGTTATGAACATGATTCGGTTGTCTTTTTTTGTCGGTTTGATTGATTTATTGAGGTGTTTGTGCTGCGTGTGATTTTTTCAGGCTTTTACAGAAGGTGGGAATTTGAGTAGAAAGGGGGTGGTGTGGTGGATATTTTGATTGTGGAAAGGTTAAGTTTTTGGTTGATTAGTGTGTCTTTTATGGAACAATTTCTCTTTATTTTTTTTTTTTTTTTGTCGTTGTTGTGATTTTCTGGTAATTGTTGTTGATGGGTCTGAAGCAATCAGTAGTTTGTGAATTGTGATTTTTTTTTTTGCTGCTAGAGTTGGATAATTTGGTGAATAAGGTAAAGATGGAGGAAAATACTAGTTCATGGTTACAGAGGGCGAAATATTCTCATACCGTGTGTCATCGCTTGGATACATCGAGGATGAAATCGACTCCGTTCAACACAGAACAGGAACAAAATTCAAGATTTTCTTCGTATGTTAAGAGGAATCTTTTAACCAACAAGCAGAGATCTCTGTCGCCATTGCCCATAAATTCCATTTCCGATGTCTTTAGAGAAGCCAAACATGAACGGAAGAGGTTCTCGACGCCAGGTCCTAGTAGGGACAAGACGATTATGGGAAAGGTGTCGTCAAGCAAGGAATCTCGGGAACTACCTAAGGTGTCGAGTTCGAAATCACCTTTTACGAGTCCGAACAGGCAAAAGATGCCGAAGGGCCTTAGGAAGGATTCTTCATGGACTAAGCTTTTTGAAAGCGGCGGCGGTGGTGGAAAGGTTACTGCTTTGGAAACAGCTGAGGAATGGACTATTGACATGTCGAAACTGTTTCTTGGCCATAAGTTCGCTCATGGCGCTCATAGTAGGCTTTATCATGGTGTATATAAAGAGGAGGTTGTAGCTGTTAAAATGATTAGGGTACCTGATGACGACGATAACGGAGAGTTGGCTGCTCGATTAGAGGATCAGTTTGTTAGAGAAGTCACCCTTTTATCTCGCCTTCATCATCGAAATGTTATAAAGGTGATTGTGATAACATATCTTCTCTTTTGCATGTTGATATCATTTGCGACACTGCTAATTTCTATGTATTTCTTTATATATTTTGATCTGATTACAGTTCATAGCTGCGAGCAGCAATCCCCCGGTTTATTGTATTATCACAGAATATATATCCGAAGGCTCCTTGAGGGCTTATTTGCATAAGCTGGAGCGCAAAACTATTTCTCATGAGAAGCTAATCGCTTTCGCTTTGGATATCGCTCGTGGAATGCAGTATATACACTCTCAAGGTGTCATTCATAGGGATCTTAAACCTGAGAACGTCCTTATTGATGAAGACTCTCGTCTTATACTTGCTGATTTCGGCATTGCTTGTGAGGAGGCCGTATGCGACCTATTGGCTGATGATCCTGGAACATATCGTTGGATGGCACCTGAAATGATCAAAAGAAAATCCTATGGGAGAAAGGTTGATGTGTACAGTTTTGGGCTTATCTTATGGGAATTGTTGACCGGAACAATTCCGTACGAGGATATGAATCCAATCCAGGCTGCTTTTGCTGTTGTCAATAAGGTACATTCCTTCCTTTGTACTCATATCATCTACTATTGTAATGTGAATGTCACTCTAGGGTTTCTGTTCTTTCGAAACAATAGGTTGAATTGGATCTTTTTGAATAGCAAACATGGAAAAGATATAATTAACATATGTATGTTAGATTCTCTAAATTCGTCAATGGTTTCTTCTTATCTCTACTAAAACTCTAGGTTCTTTCGTATCTTTTTGAATGGCCGACATGGAATAGTATTCATGATTTGCAAGCTGAAATCGATAAAATTAATGTGCCAGCATGCATGATCCATCAATGATTTTCCTAGATCTTCAGTCCGAGGAAACGTGATTAATTTTCGCAGAGTTTACCTATTATGCGGTTCTGATATTTCTGTTATGTGGTATTGTATTTCTTCAGAAATTAAGGCCGATTATTCCTCCAAACTGCCCACCTGCAATGCAAGCTTTAATCGAGCAATGCTGGTCGCTGCAACCAGATAAGAGGCCTGATTTCTGGCAGATTGTCAAGGTATTAGAGCAGTTTCAATCTTCCCTTGCCCGTGACGGAACGCTAACTCTAGTGCAGAATCCTCGTTGCCAAGATCAAAAGAAAGGGCTTCGTCATTGGATTCAAAAGCTTGGTCCGGTTCATCAAAATAGCTACACCGGCCCTAAGCCTAAGCCGAAATTTACATGAGTCTTTAAAAGTGCCCTGGCATTTCTAGTAAACCAGGTTCTTTGTAATTACAAATGGAAGGTTTGGTTTTTCAGTTATCTGGTTATGTCAACTTTATGACATTCATGTGATTGTAAATTTGTTTTCTAGGCATGCACACTGAGGTGAAAGTATCTTTTGTTTGCTTTTGTATGCACACACACACAAGTTGAAATCAACTTGGTACTTTCTCTTGTGTAGTGTATTGTAGTTGATACCAGATAGTTACTTCTCCTTAAGCATATGGTGCTATCACCTTTATTTCCTTTATCCTTTTTCTCTCTTATTCTGGTTGTTTTTGTTGGAAATAATTTTCTACCTCGAGTGTAGAATCTACATGGTTTATCGAATAGTTCAACTAGTTAGAATATGCTTGTGTAAAGTCATGTGACAGTTTGGTAGGATATAGAACAAAGAGGGAATAGAATATTAGTGAAGTCAATGAATTTTTGTATACATAGGTGAATGCAAGGATAGTAATGATTCGTCGAGACTTCGATAAATTTTTGTATACATAGGTGAATGCAAGGATATGAATGATTCGTCGAGATTTTGTGAATACAAACAATGTGTCTGTTGTAGAAGAGATAACTCTTGGTGCAAAGTTTTCTTTACTATTCTTATTTTCTTAATGAAAGTGTTTTGGATTGGGCCTGCCCGCGGGCCAATTACCAGCGAGACCCAGTCCAAGCTTCACAACATACCATGCTGAGCATTAGAATCCCCCGACACGCCTCGATCATGAGCGTCGTCGAACACAATTGCGCCCGCCGCTGACCATGGCGTTTGTCCCCGACAAGGGACATCCCAGGCGAGGAACGCCTCAATCCAGGACTTGCTCGGACACATTCGTAGGGCAGACTCGACCTCTCCGAATATCTCGGAGCCCTCAGGGTCCCGAGAAGACCGCGTCTTCACCTCCCTATTTCTACGAAGAGCATCATCCAGGTAGGGGACCACGTGCAGGTCCCCACTACTCCACGTGGAACCTGACAGTCCCTTTGTTGGGCTTGTTTGGTCAGCCCAATGAAGGGACCTTGGCCTAGCGCTGGGGGCTATAAATACCCTCTGTTTCAAGAGGGTCAGGTATTCATCTCATTCACGCCTATATACAATTCGCCTGCTCATTCCGCCTCTCACTTTATCATCGAAGTGTCTTGCAGGTACCCCCACCTCCTTCAAATTCAGTTTAAGCCAGCTGTGACGGTCCAACTCTGATCAGGTACGATCAGAAAGTGTTCTTTCTATTCAAACTAGTTTTTGGGTTCATAACAATTGGTTCGACATGGAGGATCTTGGAGGGGGGAGTCGTCGATGCCGGAGATAGAGGACATGTGGGCTGAAATGGTAGTAGCACTATCAAAATTTAGTGAGACATCTTATTGGTAGGTTTGCTAAGCTCGAAACAATCCTACAACAGACTTATCCCATTTAATGGATCGGCTTGCTAATATTGTTGTTCATAATCTTATTATGTCTAGTCTTGCTACACATCTAAGGTAACTCTCCATCTCTGATTAGTTTACTTTATTCTTGTGTTGCGTTGATTATTAACGATAATATTCAGTCTTGTACAATATTCTTAAATGTCTAATATTCAGTCTCGTATAATATTGAGTGATATTTTTGTCACATAAAACTAATGAGATCCTTACGTATTTATGGTGTTACACCATTTGTAAATAACATTATTATAAACTTAAATGTTTGTTGAAATAGTAAATGGAAAATATTATAAATTCGTGAGAGAAGTATCACCTTATGCAAACGGCTTGAGTATGACTAATCGAGTCTATATAGGGACAAACGTAGTCACACCTACGTGTGGGCATGTGCCTCTCCTATATGTCATTACTTATTCTGAAAAAAGAAAATTCTAGTTAGAAAATACACATTGTATATGTTTTGCTACGTGCTTTTGTTGACTACCTTGTAATGCTACTAAATAAATATAATAAACGCAATAAGTGAATTGGTTTGGGTCCCTCCAAGATTCTTCCCGCGTTTTCAAGATTGTCTTCTCCACCTTGTCTATAGTGTTGTGTGTTCTTTTGAAATATGCATATGAATCTTAAGTGGAAAAAATGAAAATGACGAGTGGTAATTCGGTAATTCGACAGTGATATGGGCGGGTGGCGATTTGAAGCAATTAGAAAAATGAACAATGAAGTCGTCATCGGATGTTATTTATCATAAAGAAGGAAAAGAAAAATACCGAGTGAACCTGAGAGAAACAAGGTTTTGCGACCAAGAGAAGAGTACGAGAGTCGATTACGCAAAGGGAATGTATTAACATCCCTCACGTCTGTGGTATTATATATGATTCACTCTTGTTGTTCTAATCAAAGAGTGTGTTTAAATCTAAAGCTTACAAGTTAAAGGGAAAATACATGCAAAAGAAAAAATACAAGGAAAATAAAGGTTAAGGTTTTAAATGTTTGTGCTCGCTTAGACCCTGCAACTCAATGCCTACGTATCCCTTTTAAGGAATCAGAGTGTCGTAGTTCGGCTCAAAAGTTTTTGTTTGTTTTGTGTTTTTTAGGCGGATGATGTTACATTCGCACTCTAGCATTAGACATATTATCGCCTGACCTTTGAGGACTTACGCGTCGTTTGCGCAGAATAGAAATAACACATCCTTTTGTGAAAATGTTTTCTTAAAAGAAAACTCCATAGGCAGCCCGGTGATAACGCGGAATTGCATTGTATATTCGACTCGACTCGCATGAATTATTTTATCGTTTTTTAGTTATTTATGTCATTTTATACTGATAGTGTTATTGTATTTCAGGTATTTTCATCCACAAGCTTGCATGAGAAAAAAAGAGAAATTGACAAAGAAAACGCAAGGGAATAGGAAATAGTACAAGAGTTAAAGAAAATCTGCACACAGAAGGTTGTGGCCCTCACCACACCTTCTGTGGCCCTCGCCACATAACTTAAAGTCGTGGCCTCCGTCACGGCTTCTGTGACCACCGCCACAAGCTTCTGAAGGCAAGTCCATGTATTTCGTTTCTCTCCCATGTCAGAACACGACAATGAGTTGTCCCTATTTTCTCTCTACAAGACTAGGTCTCCCTGAAATCTCTCCATGAAACAAGACACTCTGGATTCTTCTCGAGGGAAGTTACGAGAATCAGACGAGGAATCTATAAAAGGGGCAAGGCTTGACAATTACGGGGGTCGTCCAATTTTTGATAGTTCAGAGCACTTTTATTTTAGATTCTAAGCAGTAAACTCACTATTAAAGTGATAGCTTTCCACATCAGAGAGCTATTGCAATATTAGTATTCAATTTATTTTCGAAGAAGCAAATCCTGCCGACATCTGTGGAAGATTGCAGACTTGATGTTTTCAGTTTATATTCCAGTTTTCACTTTTAATTTTAGGTTTCAATTATTTTTATTGTCTCTATTTTCAGTAATCATGCTTAGATTTATGATTTGCTATTGGTATGTACGTTTATGTTTAAAAATATGTCCGACTAATTTTCTTAGATATTGGTATGTAAAAGTAATCTAACCGAAGGGATTCAGAAATCTATTGGCACAAATATTTACAAACTACTTTTCTGGTTTTGATTTCCAATTAAAATATTAAAACAGTTTTGTTACGAGAGTAAAAGACGAATAAAGGTTAAAATCAATAAAACGGGAGTTTGAGATTTCTAATCGGATAGTAGTAACTGGACATTAATTTTAAATACAACGAGAGCACTTTAGGATTAATTAGATTTTATTGGTTTCCAAAAAGTGTTTTTAAATTCGAATGAGACAGCGAGAGCAAGCATTTAGATTTAAGAATATAGTCCAAGTCAATAAATATGAGAGTGTGAGATAAAAGCTTTCAAATTAATATTTTCTACTGAAGAGTATTTTTAAAAACTACGCCAATGGTTTATCGAATTCCCGAAGTCTGACGAATTATATACCGGTGTCCCGTATTTGAATATTTTTATTAAACCTGAGTTTGTTCCCCATTTCTCTCAAAAACCTAAGATTAATCATCAGCCTTAGATTACATAGTAATATTAGATAACATTAGTTTGATTATCAGTCTCTGTGGGTTCGATATATTTTAAAACTACGTAATTAGACTGTGCACTTGCAATCAATAATTCTGATAGACTCTTAAAGTCGTGATCAAGTTTTTGGCGCCGTTGTCGGAGACTGATTTAGTCAATATCATGATTCTCTTGTTACGCGGTATAGAATAAGGCAACAATATTTTTTTTACCTTTAACCCATTGATTGTATCCCAAGAAATCACTCTCAAAATCATTACCAATTGGGAAGTGATAGAACCATTATGGAGAAACCTCAAATGAAAGGCGGTATGTACGAGGTTAGTAGTTTAGACCAAGTTAACGCTAAGGTAAAAACCCTTACCTAAAAGATAGAAAGCTTGACTACAACTCCCGTAGCCACTGTGGCTGCAGTAGCTCCAACATGTGATTTATGCGGACTTCACCTACATGTTGCGCCCGAATGCCCACTTTTAACAGGAGTACCAATTGATCAAGTAAATTATGCTCAAGGGAACGCATACGATAATACCTATAACCCTTCCTGGAAGAACCATCCAAAATTTTCGTACAAGAACAACAATGCATTATATGCACTTGTCCAAGCTCCTGCTACACCACCAGAATATCAGAAAACCACCCCAATTGCTCCAAATGTTCTTAGTAAATCCAATATAGAAATCATGATAGAAAATTTTGTAGCCACTCAAACTCAACAAAACAAAGATTTTCTAAATCAGAATATACACACTAATGAGCAACTCAAGCAACTATCAAACAAGGTTGATGCCCTAGCCACTCATAACAAAATGCTTAAAACTCAAATCTCTCAAGTGGCTCAACAAAAAGCGGCTACTACTGCTCCAGCTGGCACTTTTCCTGGACAACCATAACCAAATTCGAAAGGTCATGCTAATGCTATAATACTTCGGAGTGGGACGGAATTAGAAGGACAAAC